AATCTCCGGATACCAATCCGTTAGACTATTGTGTCTGGAGTATTTTGGAAAGCAAGGTTGGCACTAAAAAATACCAAAGTGTCGATTACCTCAAGCAAGCACTTCGCCGGGAATGGGCCAAATTGCCGCAGAGCAACATTCGGGCAGCGTGTGATGGTTTCATTGGCCGATTGAAGGCCATAATTCGTGCCAAAGGTGACCAATTCGAACAAATCTAAACTTATTCTAAAATTTGATGCTATTTCCGACATTTTTGCTTTCATTCTAAAAAAAAAAAAAAAATTAAAAATTATGGCGTTTGATTTTGTTGCAGTTTTTTTATCTCACCCTGTCTATACCAAACAATACAACACAATTTTGGTTTTTTTCTTATTTTTTCAAATTCCATGTCCTTTTCTTTTATGTTTTTTTTTTTTGCACCTCACTGTCTTCATTCAATCCCATCCATGTTTGCATGGCGTTAAGTGTTATACGGACTTTTACGGTAACTAAATAAATGCAAATTAAAAATGAAAAGCAAAATGAAAAGCAAATGAAAAAAAAAAAAAAAAAAAAACCAACAAACACAAAATTCAGCAACAACAACTACCACAAATGCAGTAGTCACTCACTGGGCACATTGTTGGCACAGTCAGTTAAAGAGGGTGTGGGGGCCAGAGTGGCAACCAAACACCGACACCGAACGACAACAACTACAAACATTCAACAAAATATTCTAATGAGCAACATGTGCGCTCTAATAGATGTCAATCATTCAAATTGATATTTGTTTGGATGAATAACAATACGAGCTGGCTGGCTGCCTGGCTGATTGGTTGGTTGGCTGACTGACTGAATGAATGACTGCCTCGTTGTCTGAATTGCTGCTCACCGTTTGTCTGACAAAAAAAATAATGAACCAATGTGAGCATGAGGTTAAGAAGAAAGTAAATGGTTGGCCAGGTCGGCCAGGAAAACGAAATAGATAAATACAAGCAAATACACAAACACATACATCCACACAGCTACATACATACATTTTGGTAATTACTGGGTAAATAGCTTGATATTATTTTTTTTTCTACGATATGTCCTACTGTCAGTCAAGTGGTGTTGGAATCAGTCAGCCCGGCTGGCAGACAATGGTGTCTGTCTGCCTATATCTCTCTGTGTGTGTGCATGTGTTTGTGTGTGCCTGCACACGAGGAATATGTTTCACACCTTGTTTTGTTTTTAATTGCAAAAAACAAAAAAAAAAAACAGAGAAGAATAACGAATGTCACGACAAGTTTCATTTCATTTGCTAGGGATGGCCGGCCAAGCAGACGTTCAGGGTAAGAGAAATGAGAGAGGGAGGGAGAGAGAAGAATAGCTGATTTTTTTCTATATAAATTAAATTTAAAAGAAATGTAATTAAATACAAATTAAATAACCAATATTGGCAACGAAAAATTGAATTGAAAACATCCCAACAACAACAACAATGTATTGAGGAGGGATTTTCAAATGGCGCCATTGGATGGTTTTTTATTATTTTTTTTTTTGCGAAAAAGGTTTGCTAATTAAAAATAAATTTTAAAGGGAAGCAACAACAGGGTGAAGGCCCTTAATGGGCACGTATGAGTCTTGTCAGTAATCATACGCCCAGAAAAAAATAATAGCTAATTGGAAATATCTCTGAGGGCCTTTGAAAAAATGTTGTTAATGAATTTTTAAAGAGAAAAAAGAAATAGTAAAGTTCGTTATTTGGTCCGTATGAGTACCGACAATAATCATACGCCCAAAAAAAATACATAAAAAGCAATGACACATCTCTGTTGGTAATTGCAAAAAAAAATCTAAAAAAAAAAAAAATTAATGTAAATTTAGAGTCCATGAAAATTATTTTTAAGTAAATCAGATTTGTCAGTTTTTTGTTTCAAGAAAATTAAATAAAATGCCAATTATTGCCCTTCTGGTCTATGAACAAAATGGTTTTCAAATCTTTTTTCTTCCGAAAAATCGACTCCAAGGAGGTTTTTGAATTAAAAATTAAAAAAGGGTAATTTTCGGGTAAGTATGATCCATTGAAAATATTTTTAAAATATTCAGGGCTGTTGAAGTAGTTGGTTATTAAAAAACCTTAAAAATTCCATTTACTGCTATTTTTGTCTATGGAATTCAACATTTGATTTTTTTTTCTTAAAAAAAAAAAAAACAACGAATTTTTAAGGCTAACTTTGAAATAAATTTTATAGGGAAGCAGCAAAAGGGTAAGGAATGTCGTGTCTTGGTACGTATGAGTACTGACAATAATCATACGCCTAGAATACATGACGAGTAATGGGCTAATGTCTTTAATGACCCTTGAAGATATGATGGTTCTTTGGTACCTATGAGTATTGACAATAATCATACGCCTCAAGTTGTAACACAATATCTCTGTTGGGCACTTGGAAAAAAGTTATAAAAAAAGTTGGTGGTCCATTGGTGAAAATATTTTAAAAATAATCAGTAGTTGGTTAAAAAAAACCTTTAAAAATGTCAATTTACATTTTTTTTTATGGAACTTGACATTAATATTGGCCTTTGTTTTTTCCTAAAAACTAACGGATTTTTTATCAGACCCCTTTGAAAGGTTTTATCTATTTTTTTGTGTGGAAAAGGTTTACCAACTTAAAAATACATTTTAAAGGGAAGCAGAAAAAGGTAGAATCTCGTTCCTGGGATCGAATAAGTGTTGACAATAATCATACGCCTAGAATACATGTCATGGGGATTGGGCAAATAACCCTTTTGGCTCTTAGGAAAATATTCTTAAAAATGTCACTGATGTTAATCTTTACTGAAATTGTAAGATTGTTCAAAATTTATTTTCAAAAAAATTTCGTTAGTACCCCCTGTTGGTCAACCATTATTAGAGGTTTTTATTTTATTTGTTTATTTATTTATTTTATTTTTATTTATTTATTTATTTTTTTTTTTTTGTAAAAATGTGGATTTTAGCGATTCTTTATTCTAAAAACTCATTAAAAAGTAATATTTTTATTAAATAAATTTAAAGAGAGAAGGCCAATCTGGAATACGTATGAGTATTGCCAACAATCACACGCCTAGAACAATATACATAGCACAGTTCGTAAAAACTAAAAAAAAAATTAGTACCTCACAAAGGGTGACAATTTTCAAAAATAATAACTCTTGTAAAATGTGAAATCTGATTTTCTTCAAAGTTCTTATATCTCAATATTTCCACCAATACAAGATCTGTTATAAATGTGGAATATATCGGACCACTCCTTCTAGTACCTTCCCCACAAAGGGTTAAAATCTTGAATATTTATATCTCCTATAAAATACCAAAGAAGCATCCGATTTTCTTCAAGTTTCACACTTCCCATTATTTTTATTAAATCTGGTGTCAAATGAGATTATATCGGTCTACCTCTTCTGGTACCACCCTCACAAAAAGTTTTGAAATTTTGAATAGCAAAAACGATCATAAAAACCATCCGATTCCATTCAAACTCTGGACATTTCAATATTTGCATCAGCACAAGATCTATTATAAAAATCGGGCCATCCCTTCTGGTACCTCCCCCACAAAGGAGTCAAGATTTTGAAAAACAAAAATGCTCAAACAAAACGAAATAAGCATTCAACTCTCTTCAAATCTAATAGATCAAAACATTATTACTGACACAAGAAATGGTGTGAAGATCGTACCGACTCTTCCCCACAAAGGGTCACAATTTCCAATACTTCCAATCTCTCATAACTTGCGAAACAAGTCCGCGATGTAAATAAACAAACATTGGTTGAGACTGATACTTTCTAAATTGTTTTCACTACAGTTTGAAATTTAATTTCAAATTATAAATATCTTCAAAATAATAATGAAGTAGACTGGCGTATGATTAATGTGATCCATATGTTATCTTCTTAAAAGTATTCATACGCCCGGTTGACCTGAGACTACAATATTTAAATATTCTCCAAAAGATCAAATGAAAGTTATTTGAGATAATTTTTTCGCCTATGAAGTGGAAAAACTCATCGATTGTTCTTTATTTGTCCTTTGAAAAATTTGATGGGCCTTGAAAGAATGTCTTAGAGAAATATTCCGTAAAAATTCTCAATTATCCTTAAAAAAAATTACCCTCACAAAATACAGGATTATCTAAAAAAATCCTACATATTAAAAAAAAATCAATTGGGCGCCACCCAGTTAAGCATACGTCAAGTAAAAAGTAAACAATTGGAAATAATAGTTTCAAGACAATTTTCTGATTAGCAGTGAGAGTAAAAGTGAAAGAGAGAGAGAGAGAGAAATAATTGCGCCAATAGGGTGGCGTATGGTTAATGTGGCATATGAATCACCTTATTAAAAAATAATAGTGGCTAGAGACTTCAATATAACCAATTCTCCTATATAAGCTATAAAATTAGACCCCTTTCGAGATTATTTTTTTCTGCAAAGCAATGAGTGTCTTTTCAAAAATATTTAAAAAAAATAATGAACCTTGAAAAGAAATCTTAGAAAATAGTGTCTTCCAAAAACAAATTAAAGACCTTTAAAATCATAAATTTCTGCCCAGAGGTGCATCGGTTAAAAAAGTACTGAGAGAGAGCGAGGAGAGAGCTTTTTTCATAGAAGTATTTGTGAAATAGGCTGACGTATGGTTAATGTGAACCATACGCCACCCTTACTGAAACTACTCATACGCCGCTGTGGCCAGATAATTCAATGTCAAATTCTCGCCCTAAGAGAAAGCCTCACATATAAGACCTATTTTTATGAAGAGACAAGAGGCCGGCTTAATTATGTTCTCTTAATTTTGTTATTCTCTGATAACATTATTTGTAAATTGTCCTGATTGTGAGTGTGAATAGAATTAGTCTCAGTGAAGGCACGAGTGTCTACTCTTTCCTGGCCCTGTTTTGAACGATATATTCCCATCCCAACCAATTCAATCTCCCATTATTTTCAATATATAATTTAAAATAAATACATATGTATATTGCGTATTGAAAGTAAATACCATTCAAATAATGACGTATCCATTTCTTTTTGGGTGGCGGCAATAAAGACCCCTCGCCCTCCACCTCCTCTTCATCAGCCTCCTGTTGATGGGTGCTCCGGCTGTCCAGCCGATGACTGTTGGTTTCCTGATTGCTAACGTCATTTGGCAGGTATGGAGGTCGGAGATTTTGAAGATGGTGGTGGTGGTGGTGGGGTTCGTGTTTCTGCTGCTGCTGCTGTTGATGATGAGTGCTTGTTTTAATCCGTTTGTATTGTTCCCGCTCGCGTTCCCTCTCCCTGGTGCGTTTGCGTAAAGCCCGTTGAAGATCACAGTTTGTTGAGGAGGAAGTGGTGGAGATGAAGTTTGAAGAATCATGTAATTCTGCTGCTCGAAATAAATTGGAAACTCCTGGTTGAGAGGTTTTTATTGCCGTCTTAACCGGCAACGAGGGAAACGCAGATGATCTTGGCGGCAATGACTTGGTTGTATAATTCTGAACTTCATCATCATCATCTTCATCATCATCGGCAATGGCATTGCCATTATTTCGATATGACTCGCCTGGTTTTTTTGAGGTAGTTAATTTTATTGCCGGGGAATTTGTGTTTAATGTCTTCAGGTGGTGATGGAGCTGGTGATGGTTCTGGTTCTGGTGTTGGCGATGATGTTCCAGTTGAAAATAAGCATGATGTGGCGAAGGCGGCGGAAGTGTTGTTGGTGATGGCGGTGTTAAATTTAGAGGCAATGCCAACATGGCAGCCGCAGCTGCTGCTGCCGTCGCCGACGTCGTGCCTGGTATATGATTATATCTTTTACTTGTTGCCGCTGCTGCCACTGCGGCGGCGGCCGCCATAGTTGTGGTATTTATGGAATCCAGGGGTGGGGGTGGAGGAAATGCGCTGGCCGTTGGTGTCACTGTCACTCCTCCTGCCATATGGCTTAAATGTAAGGCATTTAAACGCAAAAATGTATCGGTTAAAATATCCAATGGCAACATATCCAAGGCGCCACCACCACCGCCACCAACCAATGGACCCGGGGTTGGGGTCACATGTTGTGGTTGCGTTGCTGATGTCATCAGCATATTTGTGGTTAGTCCTGCCGTCGATGGAGCCAGCAACAAGTGGCCATTGTTTGGTGTTGCTGTTGTGGCGACACTGGTGTCATTGGTGATCTCCTCCTCACATGCGACTAGCTGTGTAGCTGTTGCTGTTGTTGGTGGTGCAAAAGCTCTGCCAATGTTTGTTTGCTTGAGCACCTCTTCTCTCTCCACTCCCGTGTGAGGCCTTCGTGTTCTCATGTAGTGTTGTAAATGGGCCATAAAACTAAGAGGAGGCAAAGGATTTGGAAATAAATTGTTTGTGGTAACGGTGGTGGCTGCCGCAGCGGCGTTATAATACATAGCAGCGGCTGCTGCTACAGCCGCCTCAGCTGAATTTGTGACACCAAAACTTGCCGAGGACGCGGATAAATCATTCACTTGAAATTTGTTGAGAGGAATTTTCACTTCATGACTATCCACCGGGCCAATAGGTGGCGCTGTGATTAGAGGTGCGGCCAAAGGTGGAGTTGTTGCATATAATGCATTATTTGCCGGTGGAAGAGAACTTTTGTTGTTTATGGAAGGTAGAGATGAGGGTTGCCACATGTTTTGCAGTTATATTTTTTTTTAAAATTCAAGTGAAATATTTTCATATAAAACAATACGGTAACAATAAATGTTGATTTTTTTTTTAATTTTTTAGTTCAAGTGTTGTTGTTTTGACGACTAACCAGTTTTGTTGTTGTATTATATTTATTGCGGGCGACTTGGATTGGTGGGATTTATTTTAGTTTATAATATTCCACTTTGTTTTTTCAACATTTTGATTTTTTTATAATTTTAATCTGACTTTCCACATTCGGAAATAATTTAGATTTTTTTTAAAAAGTATTTTTTTTTTAAATTTGATTTAGATTTATTGGAACTATACTAGAAATAAAAAACGATAATATATTAACAATTTTTTTTTTTTTTTGAATTTTTAATATTTGTACGTTTTCATTATTTATTAAAATTTATTAGAACACAATTTTTATTGATTAATTTACTTTGTATTAGTTTTATAATATTATATTTATATCAATACGTTTTCATTATTTTTTAATATTTATTAGAACATAATTCTAAGCAATTAATTTTATTTCTTAATAAACCATTTTGAAAATGTTAATGTTTTTTTTTTTTTGCTTCTTTAAATATTTTTTGTCATTTATTTATTTTTTATTATTTTTTTATTATTTCTTTTGTTTATTTTTATTTTTCTTATTTTTATCGACTTTTTATTGATATTATACTTTTCTCAAATGGATTATTTTGAAAATTTTATTGTTTTTATTTTTGTTATTTATTTATTTTTATCATTTATTTTTTTACGTTTTCCATTTTTTATTTCTATTCATCTTTTTATTGATATAATAATTTTCTTCAATGGATTATTTTGAATATTTATTTTTGTCATTTATTTTTATTATTTTCTTATTTATTTTTTATTATATGCTATTATTTTTTTATTTACCTATTTATTGATATTTTAATATTCTTTAACGATTTTTTTTTATTATTTTTTTTTATTATATTTTTGTATATGTTTTTAATTTTTATTTATCTATCTATTGATATTGTAATTTTCTTTAATGGATTATTTTATTATTTGTATTTATCTTTTTATTGATATATATTTTTTTTAATTTAAAAATTTAAATTCTTTTTTATTTTTGTAATTTATTTATTACTTACGTTTTTATTTTTATTTTTTTATTTATTGATATTTTAATTTTATTTGATGGATTATTTTGAAAATTGAGATTTTGTACTTTTTTATTATTTGTTTATTTTTTTAATTATATTCATATTTTTTTAGTTTTTGTCATTTATTCATTTTTATTATTTTTTTTTTTGTTTATGTTTTTATTTCTTTCTTTTTATTCATATTTTTATTGATATTTTATTATTTTTGTTTACTGAATATTTTTTATTCTCTTATTATTTTTATTATTTTTATTTATTTTTTATTATTTTTATTTATTTTTTATTATTTTTATTTATTTTTTATTATTTTTATTTATTTTTTATTATTTTTATTTATTTTTTATTATTTTTATTTATGTTTTATTTTTTCTTTTGTTTGTGTTTCATTTATTTTTTATCATATATTTATTGATATTATTTTCATTAATGGATTATTTTGATTTTATTATTTTTGTCATTTAATTTTATAATTTAATTATTTTTTTAATGTTTTAACCTTTTTTATTCATCTATTTATAGATATTTTAGTTTTCTTTTAGGGATTACTTTGAAAATTGACATTTTGTAGTTTTTTATATTATTTCTTTTTATTTATATATTTATTCATCTTTTTGTTGATATTTTTTATTTTTAGTTTTTGTCATTTATTTATTTTTATTATTTTTTTGTTTATGTTTTTTATTCATATTTTTATTGATATTTTATTATTTTTGTTTAGTGGATAATTTATTATTTTTTTTTTGTATTTATTATTTGATAAAAATATTTTTTATTGATATAATTTTCTATTATGGATTATTTTATTTTTTTTTTTAATTTTGTCAATTATGTATTTAATTTCATTATTTTTTTGTTAATGTTTTTAACCTTTTTTATTCATCTATTTATTGATATTTTAATTTTCTTTAATGGATTATTTTGAAAATTTATATCATTAATTGTCATTTATTATTATTTTTGTAATTTTTTTATTCATTTGTCTATTTATATTTCATTTTTTTAATGAATTACTTAGAAAATGTAATTTTTATTATTTTTTAATATTTTCCTAAATTATGTTTAAATTTTATACTTTTTTTGTAATTTATTTATTTATATTTTTCGTTCATGTTGTTAGTTTTTTTATTTATAAATTTAATTATTTTTTAATTTTCTTCAATAGATCCTTTTGAAAATTTATATTTTTTAGGTTTTGTTATTTATTTACTTTTTTATTATTTATGTTTTTATTGATATTATGTTTTTTTTTAATGGATTATTTTGAAATTTTTTGTTTGTCATTTATTTTTTTATTTATTTATATTATGTTTTACATTATATTTTTAATATTTTTAATTTTCTTTTTATTTTATTCATCTTTTTATTGATATTATAATTTTCTTCAATGGATTATTTGAAAAATTTTATTAAAAGTTCTGCCCCACCGAACTTAGCTTATAATGTTTTTTTATTATCTTTTTGTTTGTTTTTCTTTTTTTACTTTTTGTTTATCTTTCATCATTTTAAAAAATGATATTAATTCTCTTTTGTCATTTATTATTATTTTTTATATTTTTATTCATTTATTTATAGATATTTCATTTTTTTTAATGTATTATTTTTAAAATTTAGATATGTTAGTTTTTCTCATTTATTTCTTAATTTTTTTTATTATTTTGTAATTATTTATTATTTTTTATTTATTTATTATTTTTACTTATTTTTTTTATTATTAGTTTTGTTTGTTTTTAATTTTTTTTATTTTTATTCATCTATTTAATATTTTTAATTTAATATATTTTTAATAATAATAAATTTGTAGTTCTTTAGTTTAGTTTTAGTTTAGTTCTTTTTTTATTATTTATCATTTATTAATTTTTATAATAATAATAAATATTATTTTTTTTTATTATGTTTTTATAAATATTTTTTATTTTTTTTTTCATCTAATTGTATTTTATTTTTAGAGCTTTCAAACTTATTTGTATTTGTTTTTAATATTTACTAAATTTTGAAAAAGGTTTTAATTACATTTATTTGTGTTTTCAATATTATTTTTATGTTTTTATATATATTTTTTTATTTTTATTCATCTATTTATATTTAATTTTTTAATGAATTATTTTTAAGATTTATATTTTTTTACATTTATATATTTTTTGTTTTTAATTTTTATTCATTTAATTATATTTTAATTTTTTAAAGAATTATTTTAAAGATATATTTTTTATTATTTGTCATTTATTTTTACAGCATTTAAAGATATTTTTATTTAGTTTTTAATGTCCACTAAAGTTCGAAAGATGCTTTTATTTAATCTATTTTTTGTATTTTCAATTTTTATTATGAATTTCTTTTTATTTTCCCCTTTTTATTTTCATTCATAATTCTTACTTGTTTTTTATTAATTAATTTATTTTTTTAACTTTTCAAAAAAGTGTAGAAATATAAAATATATTATTGTTTACATGTACGTTTTTTTTCTCTTTTTTTTTTGTTAAACAACAAATACTTGTTTTTAATAATTATTGTTTAAAGTTATTTATTTTGCGTTTGACATTTTTTGTTTTGCATTTGAATTGAAGAAGTCTGCATGTATTTGCTCATGTTTCGTTTTTTTTTGGTTATTTTTTGCTGTTTTGTTGTTGTCGTTGTTGTAGGTTTTTTTTTGCTGCTGCCAAAAAAAGAGACACTGTCGTTTTGTCAGCCAGCCAACCGCACACGCGAGCAACTTATTTACGAATGATTGCTATTTTTATTTAAAAACTTTAACAATGCTTAAGGTTTTTTGTTGTTCTTGTTGTTGTTAGGAATGTGTTATTTTTTTGCAACAACAACAGCAACAAAAAAAATAATTCTCAGTAGACGACAGACGAACGAACGACTAGCCAACAAACAACAAATCGAAATGCAATATTTTTTTTTTACTTTTCTTTAGGTATTTTTTAGGATTTTATTTTTTTGCTTTACTTTTTTCGTTTCTTTTCGTTTCGTTTGCATGTGAATGTCTTTGCAGCCGCCGCTGTTGTCGTGTGAACAGACACTGCCTTTGGTGTTGTTCTAAAACCACAATAAAGGCAGCCAGAAGGCAGCAACGACAACAACGCCAGTCATAAATGCAGCCGCAGTAGCAGCAGCAGCTGAGACACAAAACACCTTCATGGTGTCACTAACACAGCAAAAACACAACAAAAGCAAAAAAAAAAAAAAAAAAAAGAAAAGAGATCAAATCATCGTCAACGGTTTTATGGTGGGGAGACCCACTCCCCAAAAACCAACCAACCAACAAAACACACTCAAATCGCCATACGAGAGCCAAACACAAATGGCCTGGCTGATGATGAGGATGATTTTGGCATAACAATGAGAGCCAAACACAACACCCAAAGAACAATACCAACATTCCATGACCCATTCCCAGACGCCTCCTCCCCACCACTACCCCAAAACATCACAGCGAACAATTCCCAGCATGTGTTCTACGTCAATAATGATGATGATGTTGGTGGAGACGCCAGCCAACATTTTCAGACAACCTGGAAAAGACCTTAGCGACCGACAAAGTCAAAGCACTGAACAAAACAACAACAACAGCAAACATCGACAAATCTAAGTATATTTTTTTTCCTTTTGGTCAAAATACGTAAATGGCTCGAAGGAGCCAACTCTCCTTCCCTCTCTCTCCCCCTCTCCCATTTCGTATCCCAACGAACTTTAATCCATTTTAAACCCCATTGATGTTCGACGACGACGACAACGACAAGACCCAGTCCTCGTCAACAGTTTCATTTTTTCACACTTTGCTTTACAACAACAACAAATTCAGCAACACACAAAAGCTTATGTGGAGAGTCCCAACAAACCTGTGTAGTTGCCGCCAACAACAAACAACAATGCCGAAAAAGAGAGCCAACGTCTGAGAGGGTCTCTTTATTGAGTACTCAAACAAAAACAATTGCAATGATGACGGAGCGTAAAATTAATTGCATTCGTGCAAATTCTCATGCACATCTACTCTCGATTTAATGCTCTACCTCTCTCTCACACACTTCGTAAAAAAATAAATCCCAAAAAAGAGAGCGTGTTAAACAAAATTGCAGAGGATGTGGGGCTGCCATATGGGGAGGTTTCTGTTACAAAA